TTTAGACTTTCGAGTTTTTTTAACTTCCGAGTGAAGGTGAGACATGTAGCTGCTCGCTATAAATTCAAAAGCAAATATTTTCTCTAAAAACGATCTTTTCTCCAGATGAATTGCAAGTCCCCTGTCTACAAATTCGAGAGGCTGCAGCTACACACTTTGCAGATTCGTAAAGTATTGCTTTAACGACATCTTCTGGGGATTTTGCTTAGTTTACATTCTGTAAGAATTCTGATACACGACGGAGATCAGTGACCCGTAACATTTTACATTTGATTCTGACAACTTATCTTTCGTCGAGTATCTGATTAAAAACCGGTTTTGATTTTCAACCAATAATATCGCTCTGATATCAACGGACCAATCAGCTGCAACATTCAGATCTTGAATGTAAACACTGACATGGAAGTGAGATTCGCTATCCGTGCCACCAGAGGCTGGTTTACGGTTCGGCCTAAAATCGCCTAAAATCGCCCAGAATCGCAGTAAATCGCAGTAAAACGCAGTAAATCGCCTTAAGTTCACATACTTAAAAAGCAATCTTGAACAATAATCTTTCTATGGAAAAAAATATAGTTTTATGTATTAAGTTTAAGTATATATAGACTGAGGATATAAACACTAAAAGTCATTGGGCAGAATTCTATTGTTTTAGGCGACATTTTAGTTTTCTGGCATAAATTAGTCACGCACTTAATTAGTATGCATGACTAATTCTGATAGTTTWTGATTGGTTGGTGATCCCGTTAAGGGATTTAGCCAACTCCCTTAGCAAAGATTTGACAGCTGTCAATCACTAACCTTGGGGACTTTAGAAATCCCTTAGCTGTCAAAGTCAAGTGTCAAGATTTTCGGGCTATGAACCATAAGAAATTTGTTTGTTTTGTGTCGTAAAAAGTTTTACGGTAAACGAGTAAAGAATTATAATTGTAATTTCATAGTAAACATTTATCGTGACTAAATTACAACTTTTTCCTCGCGCAAAGTTTTTCCGAAAAAACTTTCACAGTTGTAGTCAAATAAGCGATTTTCTAGTTGTGGCGCGAAGTTTAAAACTTAAAGTTTGGTTAGAAAGCTTSGTTAATTCATGGTTCCCACACAGTTCGCATCTTAAATGTCATTTTCTTGCATGACTATAAGTTGTAATTGCTTCGATTATGCTCTACTACATTTTAGAAAGAGAGACTCTCTGGTCCGCCGCTTTACGCGGCTCCAMTCGTCAAATGAAGRAAYCATGTTTTGTATGAAAACTGAAGCTGGATTCKCTAGTTAAAACAAATGTTCTTATATTTGAGAGTTGCAAGCAGGTGACTCATAGTTTTTTTACTGACAAACTTCTG